CAAAATGATGTAAAAATAAACTTTGTAATAAAAAATAATAATAATAATAATAATTCAAAAAAAACAAAACAAAACACTGGAGTGTGTACAATGTGCACCATCTATTTCTCACTGCCCGAACTGTGGGCCTGCAGCCACAGCTCACCCTCCACCTTCCCTGCGGGCCTCAGGGCTCCCAGCCAATCCAGAGACCTGCAGCCTTTTCCCCTTCTGCTCCATCTCCCTAAAGTTTCCAGCTAGTCTCAAGCCTGCAGCTAGCTCCGGCCCTCCCAAATTCGGCTCCCAAACTAAAAATTCCCAAAAGCACTAGCCCTGGGAAGAAAGCGTCGCGTATCCTCCGAAGCCGGAGCCCTCTAGCAGCGCGCGCTCCCGCGTGAGCGCGCCCCCTCCGCCCTCCGCGGGCGCGTCACGGCGGGCACGCGCCCGCCCCCCCTCGGGCGGAGACGCGCCAAGGAAAGCGCGCGGCCGCGAGTCCCGGGCGCCATCTTGGACTTGGTGTCTCGGCTCGAGCGCGGGGAACTACGTGGTGGCAGCAGCTCGCGCTGGGTGTCTCGCGGCGACAGTGGTTCCCAGAAGAAGGACACGGACGGCGCGGGACTAAGAAGAAAGGCATCTCCCTGGGCAGCCAGAGCCGCAAAGGTGGAGCCGCGTTGGCGCCCGCCGCGGGACCTGCGCCTCGGATGCGGGCGGAGCGCGGGGGGCCGCGGCGGCGGGAGCGCGAAGCGGGGGGCCCGGGGGACCTCATGTGAGAGTCGCGGGACCAGCCGCCACCGCCGCCGTTCCCGGAGCCCGGGGTGGTGTGTGGGGGAAGCCGCCTCCGGCAGCAGGTAACGGCGGAGGGCAGGGCCGGAGCCCCGGTGCGACCGGGGAGCGGCCACCGACATTATTGGTTGCTGGGTGGCAAGTGGGGCGCTGGGTCCGGGGCGCGCGCGGGCGTGCCCTCGAGCGCGCGGGGCGCGGGGGGGCGCGGCGCGCAGACCTTGGAGCGTGCCTGGGGGCGTCTCCCCGCGGGGCCGCTTGCAAACATGTCAACAAGGCGTGGTGCGTGTGGGGCGCGGCCTCCGCCGGGCCCGCAGAGCCGCCTGCCCCCCGGATTTATTGCCCTGGCGGGGTTGGTGACCGGTATCCCGACCTTGCGCGCTGCCAGGCAGGCAGGCACTTCCCGGCATCGTTGGCTGCGCGGGTGCGTGTAACTTAAGAAGTGAGGGGCTTGAAGGTGTCAAAATAGCCCAGCGTGCGGCGCTTACGACTGGTCTGGGGGAGCTGGTCCGTGAACGGGGCTCCGGGAGGCGGAGACGCCCCTGCCGCGAACTCGGGGGAAACTTGAACTGTGTTGAGCAGCGTCGCCCCTGCTTTTGGAATGAGCAGCCAGTTCAGGTGGGGCTGCAGACAGGCATCGGTCAGCAGGTAACCTGTTCAGGTCGGTGTCTCGGGAGAGGTGATGTGATTTTGTCACTGCTGGTTATGTCCAATCAAATGGTCAGATCGTCTCATGAGCGACTCCCCTTACCCCCCAATATTCCTGAGATAGTGATACAAAAGCATGGGCTGCTGATTATCTTTAGATAATAATGTACATTTAGATACATTTTCACCACCACATTCTTCCTCCCTGTGTAGTTCTCAGTTAATCTAAACTTTGCACCGTCTCATTTTTGTATTCCAGTCAAAGATGCATACTCATGTTGACAACAGCCTAAACAGAAGATAAATGGAAAGGAAATGTAATTCCAAACTGATTTTTTAGATCTAATGCCAGTGGACCTTTACAATGGCTTATATGTCCGATGTACTTAAAGTGCCTAGTACAGTGAAGGGCCATCAACTGAGTGTTTTCTTCTGCACTTCACCTGGCTGTCAAGCTGACTGTCTTTCAGTGTGTGGGAATGTTTAGCAGTTCTTTAGTCCTCCCTGCGCTGCTCAACTGGTTTGTGGTCTTTATTTATTTGATTTTTGGCACTTTGAGTAATGTTTATTCTTCACCAATAGACTAGCAGCCTAAATTACATCAATTATTTGGGGCCTGGAGAAGCTGTGAATTGCCAAAACCCTGAAGAGGCCTGGCTTTGTTGCTCTAACTCATTGAGGTATATCGACCAGCATTCTCTGTCGCACAACCCCTGTCCAAACATAAGGTGTTCTTTGACTTAAAGTAGGACAAATGTTTTTTAACTTTTTATTTTAAAGATGCATGCATGTATGCATACGAGAACTGGGAGACAGGTGCAAGGGGACTCACCAGAGACAGAGTGGGAAGCAGTACTGGCTGGGGATCTAACTCAGGCTGCAGTGGCTGTGTATCACCTCATAGTGCTGTGATTTGAGCCGTTCCTCCACCAGGGAAGGCCCAATATTTTTAATTTTCTATGCTGCAGAGCTTCATGTGTAAATAGCTCTAATAAGATACATTTGAATGCATGTGAAATTTTATGAAAATAAAGTGACATTATTTTGGAAAATATTGGCATTTGAACATTAGGTGCCTACTGAATTGTACTTTCATGTGGAAAGTGAGAATTAATGCAGAGACCATTTTTATCAGCATTTGGCCTTGAATTTTTTTCCTGTTGCCTAAGATACAGGCATTCTGACAGTCATTTACTCCATAGAACAATTTATAGATTTTGTGCAGCTAACCTCGAAAGTTATGAGGTTTAAATATGCCTTGGTGATCAAATAGTCTTATGTATATAGATCAGCAGATTCTATTCTTCAGTGTTGCATGCTGCTACTTTTTTTTTTTTTCAAAGATTTATTTATTTGTACATACAGAACTGGGGTACAGGCCAGAGGCTGAGGGGTGGCGAGAGGCTTCACCAGAGATAGTGGGGAGCAGAACAGGCAGATCGACGAAGTACACTGCTGAGGGGAGCAGCGGGCGGGTCAGGAGAGGTCTGCCTCGCCATGTGGATCTCCTCCGGGGCAGGCGGGAATTGAACTCATGCAGAAGTGGCCTTATCTTCTGAGTGCTGTGCTTTAACCCACTGCGCCACCAGGGAGGGCCCTGCATGTTGCTACTTTTTAAAATGACAAGGTATTGAAATAAACTTACCTGAAACAGAACTGTAGACAGAGTTTATTGCTAGGAACAGCAAAGTATTAGAAAAGATAATTATGTGAATAATACTTTTATATTTGCTTTTATATCTGTATAAAATAAAATTGATCTTCTATCCTTAAATAGTTTTCATTTCAGAAGACTTCTTCAGAAACAGGTTATTAGCATTCTATAGTGAGTAAAAATTTAAAGACCACTTCACTTTTTAAAAATCACTATACCTCCAAATTCTGAGAAGTTTTAGATTTACAGAAGAGAAATTATAAACCCTGAGTAGCAAACTCTTTGTTCCTTGACCCAAATTTTATATGCTAAAATTAAAGTAAGCCTTCAGGAAAGGTTGAAGCAGAAAATTGGGTCATAACGACAGTGTTATTACTGGGAGAATTTGTTTTTAATATTCAAGATTATATTGTAGATTATGCTACTTTTTCTCTAAGCACATTTTGAAAAGTTATTCTTAGATTCACTTGTATGTTTCTGTGGTCTGTAAAACTACCACTACCACTACCCGCTTGCCCTCACCTCTGTCCTCCAGTTTTTTGTTTTCCTTTACCCCTGAGCAATAGAATATGCAGCACTTAACTTTACCTTCTGAGTTGGAAGTAGGAGCAAGAAAAACAGGCGGTTTATTGCACGTGTGTGAAATCTTCATAAGCTGACTTTATTGGATTCTCTATCCGTCTATATCCCAGTCCTCTTTCATATATTTTGAAAGCTACTGAATAGAGTGTATGAGGACTGACTTGGCTTAGAATCTTGCATATACACATCCTTTTTCCCACACAGAAGTCAGAAATTCTTGTACAGTGATGTGCTAGAAGGGAGTTAGTGCCACAAGCCAGGAGTTTGAAAAGCAGTGATACCCAAATCCAAACCACTCCTGCCCAGAACTGCTCCCTAGAGACAAAAGAAAACATAGGGATGCCAATTAAGGAGTGTGCAATTACCCTATTATTTTGGATCTTACCGTCCTTATTTTTCAAAAAAACAAAACATATTTTTACTTGATTACAGTGTACTTCATTGATAATAGAAGAAATGTGTAAAATATAGAGGAAAATACCAGCAAAAAGAATTACCCTTAATGTCACTGCTATTACAGTCACATAATCTAGTAAATATATAATTTAGTCCCATGACTGTAATGATGCTATTATAGTTACTATTAATATTCAGGAATTTGGTGATTGTGTTCATGTATGTACACATTGGAATAGGTCCTTGGGCACACTTTTTCCACACACTTTATTTTAAGACAAAGATAGGATTATTGTTGCCAGTTTGGTAACACCTGTTTTTACTTCATTATACACTTGACTGCTTTCCTGTATCTCAGTTAAGCTATTCTCTGTTGCCTTTCAAAATCTTAACAGTACTTTCATTCCTGACAAGAATCCTATGTGTTAATTATTTCTGTTTTCACAAACTGATGTGCAGCAAGGTCAAGTAATGAGAGGTAGGTAGAGTCAAGACTGAACACCACATATCTAGATCCCATAGCCCATTCTCTTTTAACTATCTTATTAATTTGCAGTAAGAAAACTGTTTTCAGAAAGTAGTACAGATACACAGAAGAAACAAATCCTATCATTCAGAAGTAGAATTTGGGAAAAACATTGCAAATGTATGTGATATCTTAGAAGAAACCACATTCCACACCAATCATAACAAGGATGAGTACTTATTTTGAACATAGGTTGGAAATGTCTTTTAGTAACACATAACTATTCAGTGTGGAAATATGTTAATTTATGTCTTAATTCAAAATCTATTTAATTCAAATCCTTTTTTTGCTGTTTAACTCATATCTTCTCTGGAGATTGCTGGGACTCTGTCTGTATTGAATTTAAGAACCTGAGTATCCTTAGGTGGACTTTGAGTTCTCTTTCATGTTGCTTTTAGTTGATTACAACTTTTGAGATATAAATTCTTGGCTTAATTTCAAAATCATAATGTTTCCCCAAGTAGTATAGTATATAGGTGCAAAAAAAGATGCATAGAATTTGTAAAACCATAGTTGGTCTTCACTGACATTTTTGTTTTGGTACTGTTCTACTTAGATCTGATTCTTCTCACGTTTGTGTTTGTAAATGTAAACGTATATACATATGGCTGTGACAGAAGAATGAAATTTGGATTTATCTTGTCCAGAGTACAAAAAAATAATTCATTTTTCTAAATAGGATGAAACGAGGAAGAAGAGACAGTGACCACACCCCATCAGAAGATACTGAAGAGAAAGTCAAGAAGCTGAGGACTACAAATGAGCATACTCACACTTGTGATTGGGGTAATCTCCTTCAGGACATTATTCTCCAAGTATTTAAGTATTTGCCTCTTCTTGACCGGGCTCATGCTTCCCAAGTTTGCCGTAACTGGAACCAGGTATTTCATATGCCTGACTTGTGGAGATGTTTTGAATTTGAATTGAACCAGCCAGCTACATCTTACTTGAAAGCTACACATCCAGAGCTGATCAAACAGATTATTAAGAGACATTCAAATCATCTACAATATGTCAGCTTCAAGGTAATACTTCAAGTCCTTCTTTGAAAAAATAAAGCATGTTTTGAGATTTGTGTGTCCTAAACCAACATATCATCTCTTTAAAATAGTGCATTTTAGGGAAAGTGTTTCAAGATTTAGGATTATTGTGGACTTAAAAGCTAAGTTACCTTTTTACTATAAGTGATGATTTTGTAAAACAGAAGCAATAAGGGTGGAGGGATCCAACTCCTCATGTTACCACCCCCCCCACCCTCACCCCCCCACCCCCACACACACTTACCCTGCTCCCGTTAAGAAACCTGAAGAGCTTTCCCTTAGGTTTCGGTCATCTTTGAGTTGTCAAAGAATATGAAATGGTAAATCCTATTTGAAAAATTAGTATGATACAATAATCTCATAGGCTTAAAGACCAGTTTCATCAAGTGGATTACTGGGTCAGTGTTTTATTATTTTTAGACCCTGAGTCCTCACAGAACCATTGGCCCTATATATATAAACATTTATATTCTATACATTTAAACGTTTTTGAGGAAATGGTTTCTGATTTGTAGGAAGAGCCACATCACAGTATTCTCCTAAGTGCTCTTGATAATGTTTGTACTTAAATCATCACTGACTGTATACCACAGAGTCTGTGGTCAGTTATTAATATAGGCCATGCTTCTCGGACTTTATTTGCATCAGAAACTGGAGAACTTGTAGAGATTACTGGGTTCCAACCCCAAAGTTTATTGTTCCGATGATCTGGATTAGGTATGAGAATTTGCATTTCTAAAAGATTTGCAGATTATGTTGATGCTATGGTCCCAGGATCACACTTGAGAATGACTGGTGTAGAGACCTCTAACTGAAGGATTATATTTTGAACACTATGTAACTGTACTATAATCAGGTTTTTAAGATTTATTTTACCAATTTATGCACACAACTGGGTTACAGCCAAAGGTGTGGGGGATGAGAGGATTCACCAGAGACAGAATGGGGAGCAAAATAGGCAGCTTGAGTAAAATAACACTGCTGAGAGAAGCAGCAGGCAAAATAAGTCCGCTGCGCCATGTGGGTCAGCTCCCTGGACGGTATCAAACTCATGCTGCAGTAGTTGCTGAGCACGGCATAGTACTAAAACTTAGCCCCTTGTGAGACCCCATAATTGGTTTTACAATGAGTTCTCAAGAATATTTTGGGTTAAGGTAATGTATATCAATCTAGAAATTAATGTTATTACTTTCAACTGTTCTAAGATGCTTGCTAGTTTTACGATGCTTTGTTTTTGATAGAAAAGCTGTTTGTATATCCTTAAGAGGTTTTTGACTACATTACCCTTCTCCCAGGGAATTCTATTTTTTTTTTTTAAGATTTATTTATTTATTCATATATATAGAGCTGGGGTACAGGCCAGAGATGTGGAGGGTGAGAGGATTCACCAGAGACAGAGAGGGGAGCAGAACAGGCAGATCTACGAAGTACACTGCTGAGGGGAGCAGTGGGCAGGTCAGGAGAGGTCTGCGGGGCCACGTGGATCTCCTCCGGGGCAGGCAGGATCGAACTCATGCGAAGTGGCTTAAGCTTCTTAGTGATGTGCTTTAACCTGCTGCGCCACCAGGGAGGGCCCAGGAGTTCTATTTTTAAAAGACTGTATAAGAGCAGCTACTTTAGTATTATATATATACTGTATATATAATCTCAACCAGTATCCTCTGGTTGAGATTTTGATGTTTTGGCATGCTTTATTTCACCTCTCTTTTTTTCTTTTGCATATTAATGGTGAATCCCAGGTTATAATTCACATGAACCTTCTGAGGGTAAATACTCAGTTTCTAGTCCCTTGAAACATGTCTCAGCTCACCTACCACCAAATGCATAATGATTTTCAAAGATTATAAATTTATGTTTTTCATTAGATTATTCAGTCAGTTTAGGATAAATCAACTTGAAAGCCAGGTCCTTTCAGCATTAACTATCTCGTCATGATGGAAGTCTAGTCTTGAAAATTATACTTTTTCAGAGAACCTCCAAAGGAACTGGCAATATATGTGAGGGTAGATGATTGAGAGTAAAAATTCTGTAGTTTACAATGCAGTGAATAAAAACTGTTTCTCTCTTTTGTAAAATTACATGTAAATGTAAATATATGCATGGATAAATGGTGGTTTCTTTTCTAGGTGGACAGCAGCAAGGAGTCAGCTGAAGCAGCTTGTGATATATTATCACAACTTGTGAATTGCTCTTTAAAAACACTTGGACTTATTTCAACTGCTCGGCCAAGTTTTATGGATTTGCCAAAGGTATTTGTTGGTTTTATGTTATGAGTATTCACTGGGAAATCTAGTGTAACCCTAACCATCCTTTATTGCCAGTGGTGAGTGAGTGTAAGAAAAGTAGTGTATGTAATAGGGAACCATTACTATCTAGAATGTGAAGTAGTAATTTTTAAAAAGTTTCTCCTGTTTTCATTACCTTACTCATCTTCATTTGTAAGATTGAAAGTAAATGAATTTGCATTGGGTTTTATAGGAAATACTAAAAATGAGTAAAATTGAGAAAAGAGCATATTAGACAAATGAGAGCTATAGAGAGGCTCCTTTTTTGGATTTTTCAGAACAGAATATAAAATTATAATCAAAGGAAAGTAGGTAATGCTGGTACTAAGAGCAGGTATAATTTATTTATAAAATTTTTTGGTAAGAGTATAAAGATAAGTATAAAGATACATTCTTTTTTTTTAAAGATTTATTTATTTTCATATACAGAACTGGGGTACAGGCCAGAGGTGCAGGGCGGTGAGAGGCTTCACCAGAGACAGTGGGGAGCAGAACAGGCAGATCGACGACGAAGTACACTGTTGAGGGGAGCAATGGGTGGGTCAGGAGAGGTCTGCCACGCCATGTGGTCACCTCCAGGGCAGGCGGGGATCGAACTCATGCTGCAGCAGCTTTAGCTTCTTAGTGCTGTGCTTTAACCCGCTGCACCACCAGGGAGGGCCAAAGATACATTCTTAAGGAAAGAAGATATCCTTATAACTTGGGTTAACTTACTGATTTTATTTGAAGAATACTTTTTTTGGTGAAGAGTTATTTTGTTTATTTGTATGAACACAATCATGAACAAAGAGATAGTCTTTCTCTAGTGGCTATTCTCTTAAATAGAAAAATAAACTAATAAAGCTCCCTGTATGTTAGTTAATATTCAGTATGTTAGTATCTAATAAAAATTTGATATGTTTTTCATAGTACATCACAAACTAACTTTACTAGGGTGGTTCAGGAAGAAACATTAACAACTTGAGTATGTAATCCAGGTTGTTCATTGAGATATCATAACATAGGTATCATGATTTCAAAGGGTTGTTAAATTTGTACATTTGAAATACGGGGAAGAGACTTTCTGTTATTTCAACATCTTAAGATGCTAAGTGTATGTGTTAGGTCACTGTGGCTCTCAAACTTACTGTATCTAATAACCATCTGAGTTATTATCTATATCAAATTTCACCTTTCCAGTTAAAACCAGTATAGATGACTCTCATTAAGATGATTCAGGACCCTCTAAACAGCACCTAGTTACATGGTAACTCATTAGAACTTCATATAGAAAATGATTTTCTCAGTTGATTTTCTGTGTACCTACCATAGTTAAATATACATATTATATTCTATAGTGAATGGTATGTTGAACATAATTTACTTTTTTTCTTCTTAAGATTATCATGTGTATTTAGTACTAGTACTGTATTCCTATGTACTACAGTTTTGACTTTGAGAACTATTGATGCAGCTAGGACTGCTTTATTAAGTAAGCCTAGGATGTTTATACTCTTTATTTTATGACTTTTGTAGGAAATTGAAATAGGGTGTTGCTTTGTCTTGGAAATCCTGAATGAGGAAAAGAAGGCAGTAATGCAGCCATAAGAATACTAATGAAATGTTGTTCGAGATATAGCTGAATTTGATGTAAAAGTATGGGGAGATAGACATTAACCTTATGGTAGCTTAACAGTTATCTAATCAAAATTTAAGTAGTTAAACAATTATTTGATCACCACAGGAAAAAGTAGAAAACATGAACAAGGTTGTGTTTCCTTGTACTTTCTTGCCTAGTAGCCTGCCCTCATCTTTTTCACTACTACAATGAATTTATAAAGCTAAGTAAGGGGTGAGATTGGTTATGTAGAATGTGTTGAAGCATGTACTGGATTAACAAATGGGTTTTTTTCCTCCACTGGTTTGACCGACTCTAAGCTGTTATTCAAAGTTGCATAGACTTTGACCATGCTTTTAATTCCTATTTCCCTACAGTGGTTGCTTTAAATCCAATTCTGTGTCCAAGAGATACTTGTATGTATATAATAAATGGAATGATAGTAATTGTTATATTGTGGGAAAAATTACATGCTAATATAGACTTTTAAAATATTGTAGCTAATTTAACATTTAAAGCCGTTTTAAACTTGGAATTTAATTTAGGTATGACTCAGGTTATTTCAGAACAAATTTTGTATGAGTTTCCATATTGTAAAGGAGTCTTTCATAGTTTCTCAGCTATTTCTTTTCAATGATGCTAACAGTTACTGCTATTTTAATAGCCATATAGACCAATAGAGAATGCAGTTCAGCATAGTTTCAACACTAGAGTAGGGTTTCAAGATAAGGTGACAGAGGTGTTGAAAGGTATTAACATCTTGGGTTTCAGAATTCCTGGTTTTCTTACCATTGATTGGTTTGAATTAGCAATAATCATACCAACGGTTAAAACCTTTTCTTCGCACACTGGTAAAAACTCTTCTCAGAGATGGCAGGTAACACCTCGCATTTTTCCCTTACTCTCCATTAACAAAATGGTTGCTACCCTAAATCAGTAACATTAAGGTTTATGTGAACTATACATTTGTTCTATAAAAACCCCTCAATGCTCATTTGTAACTGAAGCGGTATTTTACTGTTTTTGCTTTTCAGTCTCACTTTATCTCTGCACTGACGGTTGTTTTTGTAAATTCCAAATCCTTGTCCTCGCTTAAGATAGATGATACGCCAGTAGATGATCCATCCCTCAAAGTGCTGGTAGCCAACAATAGTGATACGCTCAAGCTGCTAAAGATGAGCAGCTGTCCTCATGTCTCTCCAGCAGGTAGGCATCTTTTTCTGCCCTACATGTTTTAGTAAACTGTGTTGCTTTGTTTATCAAATTAAGAACTGTGATCATTAACTTTGAAGATGCAATAATACGACTCAATCTTTTTTAAATATCATAATGCAGTAGCATAAATTTTGTAATACTCCTAGCCTGTCCACTTATTTTCTATTTATTTTCTAATTTAACTTAGAAATTTGTGTCCAGCCTGTACTAGCAATAGAGTAAGTTTAAAAAAGGAAAGGATAGGATGAAGTCTGAGATGTTCTTTAGGTAATACAGAATTCTATTTGTAGTTGAGCCAACAGGTAGGTTTTGGTTCAGAGCAACACATTATTGGTGTTGTCACCATAGAAGGAGAAGAGTTGTGCTGACTTTGCAGTGTTACCTTACATTTTGCAAGATAATGCTTTCCTTAGTTGATTTTGATACTAAGTCTATCAAATGGGGGAATAACAAAGTCATTTCTGACCCTTCATATTTTCTAAGTATCGCTATATTATTCAGTTGGAGATCATATAAATTCCAAATGGTTTGTATCAATAGAGCTAAGTACAAACCTGCACTTCACACGTCTAGGTGATGGGGATAGCTTGATCTGTTGCAGCTATTCTCTAGCTGCTCCTGCCAATTCTAGATCACTGGAAATGATAATCTAAATAAAGAAGAAGATTGAACTTTTGTAGTAACTTCCTATGTGACCATTTTACTATGCATAGTATATATATGCTATGTTAGTTCTGTTTAATTTTGTTCTAAAAGCTGGGTCCATACTTCATAGCTTTATGGTGTACAAAGTCCTCTGTGTCCTTCCTCCACTTGTCTCTTAATATGCAAGCTTTTACTTGCACTCTATACACAATAGTTTTTTGCACCTTTGTGTATAGTCAGGACACTGAGGCTTGTGGAATACTTTTCTTCCACTACATTTAGCTAACTCTACCAGATTCAGCTGAGATGTAAAATTTTGTTTGTTTTCTCATCTTTTCTGGTTTAGATTCCCCAATTTTTACTTCCTTCCATACACTCTGAACATAACTTGAGGCAGTTATCACACTGTGTGAGAACTTGTGCATATCTGGGTTCTTTCAGAAGCCACAAGCTTGTTAGCCTCTTTGTCCTGGTACATTCTGTGTTCATTTATCTTTTTATTAAATACACACACCAGTATCATATAACTATCTTACCTAATGGCTTTTTGGACTAGTTACTTATGTTCTTTGCAAGCTCATAGAGCCTGATGTGAAAAGAAAACAATTTGAAAATGGTAGTCAAATATGCAAATAAAAGATGAGATATGATCTTGTAACTACAAAAGCAGCTTTGGCAGGCATGTTCTAAAAGTGGTCCCCAAGTTCATGCTGTAATCCTTAGACTTTAGGAATAAGATCTTATTATTATGTATTCAGTCATTTCTTCCTTGTTTGTAGAAACAACAATAGAACAATAAAACACTCACTATATTATCTGTTATAGTGTGAGTATGCTGACTGGTATTAGCTATTTTTTCCACAAATATTCAAAAATAAGTAATACTGTTTTGAAGAATGCATTTTTGAAGAAACAATATACTTTACAAATGTGTAAATTGACTTTTTTCTCCGAAGGTATCCTTTGTGTGGCTGATCAGTGTCATGGTTTACGTGAACTGGCCCTGAACTACCACTTGTTAAGTGATGAATTGCTACTTGCTTTATCTTCTGAAAAACATGTTCGATTAGAACATTTGCGCATTGATGTAGTCAGTGAGAATCCTGGACAGACACACTTTCATACTATTCAGAAGAGCAGCTGGGATGCTTTCATCAGACATTCACCCAAAGTGAACTTAGTGATGTATTTTTTTTTATATGAAGAGGAATTTGATCCATTCTTTCGGTACGAAATACCTGCCACCCATCTTTACTTCGGGAGATCAGTAAGCAAAGATGTACTTGGTCGTGTGGGAATGACATGTCCTAGATTGGTTGAACTAGTAGTCTGTGCTAATGGATTACGGCCACTTGATGAAGAGTTGATTCGCATTGCAGAACGTTGCAAAAATTTATCTGCTATTGGACTTGGTGAGTGTGAAGTCTCATGTAGTGCCTTTGTTGAATTTGTGAAAATGTGTGGTGGCCGACTGTCTCAGTTATCCATTATGGAAGAAGTATTAATTCCTGACCAAAAGTATAGTTTGGAGCAGATTCACTGGGAAGTGTCCAAACACCTTGGCAGGGTGTGGTTTCCAGACATGATGCCCACTTGGTAGAAGCCGAATGTACAGAGCATGATATCACCTTCACTTAAAACATAACTGTATTATATTAAAGTTTTTCCTATAGTTCTGGTGTTACTTTATTTTGTAGCACAGAAATTTGATAATCTGAATTACATCTATAAGGATCATTTTTTGGAAGACCAGTGCAACAGTTTTGGTCAGAAAATTTCATGTTTTAGATTAGTCAGCAATCAAAACTCAGAAAAAAATATATGGCTCAGATCTGAGTGTTATAAGATTAAACACTTTGTAGTCAGAAGGAGACAAAACATATTATCCAAGAAGTGAGTATTAATAGGTTTTCTAAAATGTTATGTTCTCTATGCATTTTTTAAAAATGTAAACTTGACATTTTAGGGTTTTCAATTCTACTCACACCTGTTATAAGGTGTTTAATATAGCTCAGGAAAGTGAGCATTTTTTTTTTTTTGAGAAAAAATGTAAGGGTGTGTATTGTATTTAATAAAGGCAATTGTTCTAAAATGTTACTATTTAAAAAGGTATATATATGTAATTGGAACACAGGAAATTGATAAATGCCAAACAATGATCATAGAAGAGTAATAAACAGCTAGATCAAATTAAAAGAAAATGAAATAGAAAGGAGGCATTTTTAACTTTGTATAAACTTCTGGTTTGCACTGTAATCCACTAAACCATGTATAATATGTTACTATATTTGTGGCACTGGAGGCAGCATTTGTTATATAAGGAATGCTTTACCGGTTTTCCTGACCTTTTTCAAATTAGTTTTGAAAAATCACAATAATTGAAATGAAAAGCTTAATCTAATTTAAAAAGCCAATTGAAATAATTAAAGGTAGAATTTAAAATGTTTTGTTGTTCCTATGAAGGGAGATGATTCTTCTGTGAATTTTAGTGATGGCTCATTTTTCCATTTTGGAATTAATAGTTATATAAGTAGAATTTTCAAAAATCTTAAAAAGCTCCAATGTACAAATCAATGTAAGTAAACTTAAAAGGTGATGTATTTATGTTCATAATCATTTCAGATTAAATTTTGCTCAATGGGCTGCAAAATTTTAATAGAAAAATATTTGCAGTTTTGTGGATGTTAATTGAAAATGGTATTCTACATTATTTAAGTTTAGGTAGCATTTTTATTACTTTCACATAAATAAAAGCAATCTATATGTTGTATAATCTGTAAAAGTACTAAGTTCGGGGCTACATTTAGTTTTTTAAAGTATATTATACAATTTTTGTTTCTAAGTATTAGGCCTAGTAGATACTATGCTCCTAAGGAAAAGTAGAAGCTATTTACCTCCAATGGAAATATTAATGCTTGAAACTTTTAGAAAGTATCTTGGTAATTATGGAAGCTAATAGTCTTACAGATATATTTTAAAAACAAATTACCTCCCTAAGAATAAAAGGTATTTTTTCTACATTTTTGCTTTCAAGATTGATGTTGGTATTTTGACCACATATGAGAAGATGAAAGGCTGAATCTAGACTTGGAAATTAAAAGTAATTACTATAATATTTTTCCCTCTTATTAAACAATAATAAGCTTTGATTGTACAAGAAATCTCTGTACGCTCTGTACATGTATGAACCTTGTTTTCCTTGAACTCTGGGAAATAGTTTTGAAAGTACATAATGTTCTACTAACCAAAGCTTTGTTTGCAAATTTGCTTTTTGTACAAATTGAATTACATATTGCTTGAAATACTTTAAAGTCACTTTACAAGTAAAATACATAGAACTTAATTGTTTATACTGTAAAGTAAATGTTATATGTTTGTATGAATTTGAGAATAAAGATAGTTACTAATGCTACAGTATTCTGACAGTTTCTAAAAATTACCCAAACATATATACTTATTTTAAAACAAGTCAGTAAGTTTGGCTTATATATGTGCGGTTTCAGTTTCAAGCTGATATATAATATTTATTATTAAATGTTTATAGCAGAATGACTTTTTTGAAAATACATGACTAGGCAAGTGTGATGTACTCTTGAAATAAGCTATTTTCAAATTTTATAAAGAAAATTGGTTAAATTAAAAATAAGAGTTGTTTTTTTTTTCTGCATTTAGAACAAATATTCAAACAAATTATTTAGAATTAGAATCCTGAACCAAGGTCCTTGAAGCCAGCAGACATTTTAGAGATTTTTTTATGTGAAGCCGTAGATTCAGAATAGTTTTAACTATTAAAAATCTTTTCATTATCTGTCTTAATAGCTCCCAGGAAATGAAATTTCAGTTTACCCTGGTAATCTGGGCTGTTTCGAATATTAGAGAAAACAAGCATGATCAAGATTAAATCCATTTACCGCATTTGAATTTTTTTATATTTATGAAAAAACTTATGATAGAAGGGAATGTCAAGAAGGTTTAGGCCTGAACTGGTCCTTTACTAAAGTAATCTCTACGCCATACACTGCAGAAACAACTTTTGCAGACTCTAGTGCCAGTTCATCTTATAGGGCTGGTTTTAGTGTGACCAAGCAGCCAGGAAACATGTACCTGCTTGGTGACACCTAAGTAAGAGCTCATTTTTAGAATAATCAGTATAAATACAGTAAAAAATAAATAAAAGGATAACTACAAAGAATATATTGAAAACAGTCTAGGCAGCCCCATCCGCTTGCCCTGGCTGTGGACAGGCTGGAAGCATGTGTGTAGACTTGGGAACACTGCACTTGTATAATACCAGGACAAATTTCCTTTAAAAGAGTTACTCTTTTTCTTGTTACATTGTGTTGTCACCTTTTTAATTGAAGTTTCTAATTTAACTACTACTGAAAACAGTCATTAATCATTTTAATTATTTTAAAAGAAACCAGCACATTCAGAATCAGCATTATATGTTTTTAAAACAGGCATCCTGCCTTTTTGTCCTAATGCACCTCTATCACCCATCACATCTAAGATCTTCTCATTGCAGTTTAACTGAGCTGTATCTAGAAGCTTTCAGTAAAGGTACCTTCTTAAAATGTAGTCAAAAAGAAGTAAGTGCCACCAGAGCAGATTATGAAACTTCTAATCTAAATCTTTGGGTTTTTTCCCCCTGATTTCAAAGAAATATTGGTTGAGGGTTCCAAAGTTTAGGAGTCGAAATCACCTTTGACTGTCTTCCTGTATTTACAAAAATGTATTTAATGACACTTTGTAGGTATACTTACCTAATGCCTAAGCCAGAGTAATAAGATCTATTCATTTTAAAGACCTAATTCAAACAAAATAATGTAATTCAACAAAATAGTTTTTTTATAAATAAAATTTTATGCATTTTTAACTTTAAAGCAAAATACATTACAAATTTAAAGCAAAATAAAAATCACATTTCAATTAAACAGTAGTTCAAAGGGCAGCAAAATTTAGTTGGCAAATTCCTGATTGGCTGTGTTTTGCTTTCACTGCTACGATTGAAGGTATTTCCTTAAATCCTTTCAGAATTTCTTAACTGATTGTTCTTTATAGGGACAATGAAAAATCTTGAGTTATTTCAAACATAACTTTCTTTGCTTTGAAATCTTGTTTGAAAATTCCATGTACACATGTCATCATTTGTCTTTGCTATGGAACCAAGTTTTGTGACTTACAGTTAACACAAAACTGAAACAAAAGTTTTTGTTACTCCATTGTTTTCATATTTATAGGTATAAGCTTTTGTTACGCCATTTTTTGTATTTATTTGTATTTGTTACACCAATACAATTTTCTCTAAGAACCTGGTAAAAACTGGCCAATTTTAGCACTAGGTGATAGAGTAAAAATCCAAGGTTTTTTTTGTGACATTCTGAGGGCAAATAGCAGAAAGAAGGGGCAAATTTAATTAGGCACAGTTAGGCACTGCTAACACCAATAGGCTAAATGGTAGGCAATGAGAGAAGCAGCTCTCTGCATTTGAGGAAAACTTTACCTCTGTACAATAGGCAGAAAAATACAGTGTTTCTCACTCAAGCTATCTGTGTTAAAAGCTGGAATTTTATTTTTAGACCACTGGAATGCCTTTTTGAAAAAGCCAAAAATGTAGGTAAGGTAAATAAAATACAAACCCCCATTTTTTAGTAGATTCAACAGAAAGTTACTCCAACAAGTTACTTTAAAAATTTCTAAATGCTTCCTATACCTGTACTTATCTCCTCACAGAACTGTAACATGATTTTAGTAACATTAGATGCAGTACTGGTCCACCCACACTTTAAATAGTATCCTTAGATTAAAAACCTGTTTGAAAGTATGTCTTGGCAAGACAGCAGAACCTAATTCAAAACATGACTCCATTATCACTAGCTGGATACCCATGGCGGGTCACAGCTAACCCCCTCTGCCCCCATTTACTCTTTTGGATCAGGTAAACAATTATGTGTGCTCTCAGAAGCACACAAAATACAGGTGAAACTGAGTAATTAGTACATTTACTTATTCAACATGGGTTGTTTTCTCTCAACTCTGCATCATCTTACTGAATGGTGTTTTTTCCATGCATAGAAAGAATGTCAGTTATTATCACAGACTCAGTGGACCTTGAAACCTTGTTTAATGGCTGTAGGGGAAGCCCAGTTCATTGGAGATTCTTGACCAGAACCTGTCCTCTCCTTGCAAATGCACCCTCTTCTACTGACCTGGCAGCTTTAGTGGGCAGAGGATGGGAGGACTACACATCAGCAACCCAGCCACACCTGCGGTCAGGTAATTCCATGCCTCCTGTTTGCCCCAGCACTATGCTGTCAGCACAGTCCAGATGGCCATTACAAAACCTAGGAAAGGCTGCCATGTAAACTACACTCGGCAAGGTAAGGGCAGTCATTTGTTCTTTGTAGCTACCATTTATTGTGACCTTAACAATGCCAGGCATAGATAGCTTTGATTTTTACAACAATCTCAAGAGATGACCATTTTAAAATAATAAAACTAGGGTGTAGAGCTAACTAGTTGCTTATTCACAGAATGTCAGTTATTAGCTAGCCAGAAGCTTGTGCTCTTTCACGCTGTATTTAGCAGTTGGAAGCACAACCATACCTGTCTTTATGGTTGAATGAAGAGAACAAAATCAAAGTACTAAGCCTGTTTGCAAAAGTTATAAAAGCTGTAAAGTCAACTTATGCCAGTCCCAAAGTTACTGAAATGAGAAAGTGTAACTGCTGTATCAGAAAAAAAGGAGCTGTTACCTCGAAGATGTCATTGAGGTCTTTTTTTCTTTTTCTTTCAATTTTGATATACCATATCTGCCATTTAAAAAAAATTAGTACAAAGAGGCTCTGTATTTGATACAGCTATTCATATTAACAAAAGCTTGGAGGTTTAAATCATAACTTGTCATACTCGTCATGATCATCGTATGATTTTCAGCTTCTGCTCATGTGCATTCTAGGTTTCTTCCCAAAGGAAGAAGGCCTAAGAAGTTCACAGATGTGAAAATACTCCCTGAAAAGCCAATATGCTGGTGGTTGGAGACAAAAGAGCAGTAAAATTAAGATTTTATAAACCAGAAATTGTTTTTTTTCTGGCAGGTAAGGGGATTTCTTCATATGTTATTCTAATAAAAGGGAATTTCATAGGTAAAAGCCAGTACTCGTAATTATAAAACAAATAGAACTGTCTATGAATAATCACTGCGTCAAAAATTTGCAAGAGACTAAACAGAAATTCTTTAGTTGACAAATGCGGCTTGAAGGGGTAATAAAATTTTTTTATGGCTAACGCAAGAGTCTTGTTTTCTGTTGGTCCAAAGATAGATGTTTCATTTCCCAAATAAGTGGGTTCTCCACTGTAAAGAAATATCCTTGTATAATTGGTTTCTATCTTCTTGAACTCAGCTCCAAGATCAGCCAACTTCTTATAGGTCCTTAACACAAACCGGGAACAGTCGTAGGATTCAAACCATGTCTCCGCCCCTGTTTCTGCGCTGGCTTGGACATTCCAAGTTTCATAATAAATCCCTGTTTCATTGTCCCATTTTACCCACTTTGCCATTTTGTTAAATATGTTTCCTAGTTGGGGGAAAAAAAAAATTATGAACAACATTCTAACCTGAGGCAGGCCAAGAAGTACATGAATGAACAATAAAGAAGTGCATGAATGAACAAAAACTCCTGTATTTCCAAACCCATCTCTTACAATAAGAATCTAAGCTGAGGCCTTTAGTCTACATTTCAAGGCAGAAGGTTTTTCCTGAATTGTAAGCAATGGGTGTATAAAGAGAAATCTTGCACTTTTATTCTGTCATTTAAACTATGGCCAACCATAGTTGTACATGTGCATAAGCCCTCTTTCTCCACTCTACTTAATGAATCTTTATCAAAAGTTTAAAATGAGAATGAAAGCAAGTAAAGAATTGTGAAAGAAATAAGTGGCAAAAGACAAATATTAAAGAGGGTAAAATGCAGAGCTTTTCTGTTGCAAGGCATGGTATACACTGGTACAACTAATAGAAGTTGGCCTACTAATCAGTACTTTGTAACCTATAAAATGAATAGAGTGGCTGACCTTATCAATTTTGTGTTATATTAAAGGTGTGGAATAATAAGTCCTGTTTTCTTGCAACTAAGGATACTATTCTTAATGTTCTTAAACTTTGAAAAGCCACTGCTGTGATTAAGAGAAAAGAATACTTAAAAGACTACTCTGTAATATGTAAAAAAGGCAATGAACAGGATTAATCACAAGGCAGGTAGATAACTTAAAAGATTTAAGTATTGGCACATTATGTATGACTATTTTACGGAAAACAGTGATCACTTTTTTAAGTGATTATTCACTTATGTCAGGAGGAAGAAGTTTCAAATAATGAATAGGTGGAAACAAGAGATGCGACTGGCCTGGAATGAAAGAACGACTAGCTATGTATTTTACTGAGCATTGTTAAGTGTACTATTGGAATGTTTGGGGGACCCACCAATTAGAAAGTAGGAAGATTAGAAAATATGGCTTATAGATTCCATTTAAAAGCCATCAGCTGCATTCCCGGTTTCTGTATAGGGCTCTGGGACAGTAAGTGAAGCTACCAGGTTGAGCCTCAGTTTCTTATTTGTAAATGAAGAGTCCTTATCCTGCCCACTGAACCCTGAGTTAACACATTCCAAAATGTTCCAAGTGGGTGGTCCAAGTGGGAAGCAGGATAATTTCCTCAAGTCCTTAGGTCCTGTTACCCACAGGGTAATTCTTATCAGAGTACTTTCAGATGTTTCCACTTTGGGGGGAACAAGGATTCATTACTTAGAGCTCACTAAAATACAAAGTGATGAGTCAGTAAGGAAAAATGTGACTGAGGGTCATACAACCAGGTTCTGAAAAAGTTCTGCCAAAGTCCTTTTATCACTAACCAATAAAACAACACACACAGCAAAGTTTCAACTGTTACTCTCTAACATGTACAAAAGAGAAAAAGCTCAATCATTAAAATATTTAGATTGCTCAAGGGGTCTTAAATGCATAATACTTTCAAGTAAGTTTTGGGAGGCATTCAAGTAAGTTTTGGGAGGCAATATAACAAATGGACAACAGATTTGACTGCTAGAATTCCTTTAGTTGTGTGATTAACTTCTTTGAGTCTGTAAAAATGGGGAAATAACATAACTGTGTTGGGCGTTATGATGATAAATACTGCCATACATGAAAGCATGCGCAACACTGTCAGTTCCCTGGTGAGTCTACATGAATGGCAGCTGCTATTTCTTGACATAAAAAAATGTAATTTATTATCACAGTCTTTGGAATTCCAGATGTAGGTGACAGGCTTTTCAGTCAATTATTTTTCAGTTATATATGGATTTTCCTTCACTATTTTACTTAGAAAGTCCAATTTAATTGTATAATGTATTTCATCATTCCATTCATTTTTACCATGGGGAAAAAAGCAGGAGATAAGCTACTCATTGTGTACAAGTGAACTGCATGTTATAATTTGAGTCACAGGTTATGGATCAAGTAGCACATATTATAAATGACCTCTAAAAAGTAGAACATTCATAAAATACCTCAGTGAAAGTAATTAATTTCTTTTCTGTGAATATCAACATGATCATCAAATGCTACCATGTTTCTGACACTCACCTGATATGGTTGCTACTAGCACTAATGTTCCATTTTCCTTCCAGTGAATATCATCAATTCCTTCATAAAAGCAGGCAGCCCCTTGATTACACCAGAAAGGAGCATTCATCTCTGGTCGGAGATGGGGAAATGTGCAGTTTCCAAGTTGGAAAAGCTCATACCACTCCATCGTGTAGTTTTTGCCAGTTAAAGTGCTCCTGAATCCAATGGCATCGTGCATAACTTTCTGTGTAAAAGATCATGCACATATAAACGCATTTTATAAAGTAACCCTTGGTCCAGAATCACAAAGAGAAAATGTGTTATAACTGTCTATCAAGTAGAAAAACTGGTTGTCCCTCTTCCACATTTCTATTTTTTCCTTTTTATCATATATATATATTTTAACCATTGCTGTTCCATTTTGTGCAGTATTTGATTTCTCCCCTCAGGTGTAGTCCCCATAAATATGTTATTGTGCCCACTCTGTGTCTGCTCAAACTCCAGGTCATCCACTCTGGTTTTGCCCATTGAGCTCAGATAGAGACAAGCTATGTGGGCATGTTCATAATTTCATTCACTTAGACTATGAGAGGCTTCCACGCCACGGGCTCAGGAAGGAAATCAGTGTATGTCACAGCCTTACACCAGTACCTGCAACAGGGCCTGGACATGCAGAAGCCTTTCCTGCTTGCCTTGCTTCTATCTCTGAGTCCCCCCTTCTTACTTTCCAAGAGTTTGGTACCAGATCTGGGTTCATAACAGAATAGTAGAAGGAATTAAAGTAATTGCATTGTTATTGTCCAGATCGCAAAACTTGGAGATATTCTTGACTGCTCATTTTAAATATTCTAAGAACCTTAGTAAACATGATGTAAAATCAGCCATTTGAACAGTGACTACTTCCTCAAATTCACCTCGTAATCAAATCATTTGATTAATCAAAGTTGTAAGATCAAGATACTCCTTACCAAGTGCCCCAGAAGGCCTCCGTATTTGAACTCCCATACTGGGGCTTGTAGCCGAAAGACTTCAATGACATCATCCCCTTTCATAACTGGGATAGGAGAACCAGTTGGACAGAAAGTGTATTTAGCTTGACAGTAAGGATCTGTTTCTGGACGGAAGGTAAAGCGTCTAATAAAGATAAAGAAACCAACAACTTAGATTTTAACAGGAACTTGATTCTTCTTGTACATTTTAGAATCCAGATTTTCATTTCACTATGTTCAGAGAAAACATTCAAAGCTCAGCCCATAGTGTATAAATATATGCCTTATTTGTTACCTTGTAGAAAAAGCCCAATGATGTCTATACACTGAAATGCTGTTACATGCTTGCGTGTTTGCTGCTCTCACTGAAAATTTTCAATGAGCCATTTTTTAAAATGTTTACAGCTCCAGAATTTAACATAGTAGACAAATACTAAATATTAAATACTTATCAAATATTTAACCTCCCTGTCTCACATTAAGATTATTCAAAGACAGATATGATCAAAGAACACCCATGTTCTGTGTTCTTAAATGTTAACATTGCCTCAGTCAATATTTAGTGAGGATCTACTCTCTGTAGGACACTTTACGAGGCAATAGGGAAACAAAAATTAAAAAGCTCTTCCCTGTCCCAAGGAGCCTGGGGTAAGGGCTGGGAAGATAGTAACCACATGATGAAGTATAATGTGGTAAATGCGAAACTAAAAAAATATACAAAATCTAATGTGCACAAAGGAAGGAGAAAATAATGCTTATCTGATATGGCATAGGTGGGGGGAGGAGGGCAAAGAATGAGGCCTAGCCTACGTTTCGAAAATACTATAGAAAAAGAGAAAAATGAAATACAAGTTAGGCATACCACTTCCGAAGAGTATCCAGTAGGTAAATGAACCTGGAATTCAGGCTTCAAGGCAGGATAGAAGTGTTCCGCACTAGTGCATGGGAACAGCACCCCCTGTAGTTCTTCAACCAGAAGGGCCAAGTCACAGACTGACTTCAAAGTGTAATAAACAGATTTGATATGGCTGAATTTGCTATAAAATATGGCTTGTTTTATGAGTTAGGTTGGGAAGAAATATCAAGAAAATAAGAGAAGATGAAAGAAGAGAAAGCAAGGACCAGATGGGGAAATGCAGCTGAATTCACTTCAACACACACTTGCAGGTGACCTTCCATATGTGGCAGAGAGCAAAGATGATGAGAAAGAAATACCTGTCTCTGTACCTTAATGTCTAAGAGCCTTAAGTTCCCTAAGAGCGTAGATCTATTGTCTTTCAACCCTAATACGGCAACAACTTCTATTTTAAAAAGTTAAACACTTGATGTTAGCTGCAGACATTAACTACTTTCTGAAAAGTTTATGAGTCTACCAGAGTTAGGTATATTTTCCTGTTTTATATATACACTTATCTAGTTTAAACAACCACAGTAACTATATGCAGGTTTCACTTCCCCACAATAAAATCTATTTCAAGTCAAAGGTAATTTCAAAAGCATAATTTAAGTGTGAACCTAAAGTTAAATTTTACTAATCTCAGTTAGGGAGGTAGGTAGAAGAAAGTATTTAAGACTTCTAAACAATCACAGAACACTGACAAGTACTCTGCTCTAAGCTTACATCACGTAGTTTTGCAATCACAATCTCTCCTGTGGGTTTTTGAGTAGTTAACCTTTACTTCTTCAGAACACTTTAATAAATGTTTTCAAGAAAACCAGCTTCAACACCAAACTTTTTTTTTCCATAGACCTTACTCAAAACAAGGAAGGGTGTAAACCACTCAGGGAGTGTATACTACTATCCAGCTGTGATGTTGTGGCATTTACTAGATTTAATTCCCCCTACTTTTGTTCTGACTGGGTAAATGCAGGTACAGAAAAGAAATAATTTCCCCAAGATCACACGGCCAGTGAGGGTGGAATCTGACTTCATCCTCAGCAGTCTGAGCCCTGAACTTCCTTATACTGTCATCCAAAAAGAGCTGTGCATTTTCAATAAGTCCGGCTTCTGTGCATCCTGCTCTGTGTTGACACCGTGTTTTTTCCCCTCGATTTCACCATCTCTGACAGTTTTAGGCCCTGTAAATACTCTTCTAGGTCAAAGGTTCGAATCGGCTTCACAGATTGGCAGCCGTGTCCTACCTCCAGGCTGAAAAAAGTGGATAAACAGGGTCACCCACCGTCTGGGATGCCCCAGACGGCGAGTGAAGCGAGGCAGAGTCCAGCACGCCGGCCCCGGCTGCTGAAACTGGAAAGTCCCAGCAGACCAAGGCCAGTGTGTCACGTCGCAAACTGTGTCAGAGTTGACGCTCCTGAGCAATGGCTGCTATTCAAAGTCAGGTACTTGGATCTAAAAGTCATACGAAAAAGTAATATCACGCCCTTCCCTCTCCTTCCACGACTCCGGGCTGCCCAGGGTCTAGGTCACCACCGACAGGCGCAAGTGACCGGAGAAGACCGGCCCAG